GAAAGAAAATTCCAAGCATTGGCAAGGATATGGAGAAACTAGAACCCTTTGTATGCATTGCTGCAGGGAATGTAAAATGGCATAGCCACTTTGGACAGTAGTTTATATAATTTACATATTTACATAATTTATTTAATATTTTTAAATGGACTTTACAAAGAATCACCTACTGCAAAGTCAGCCTAGGGAATGATACCCATGAAACTGTGGCCTTTAAGCACTAGTTCTATTTTCCTATACTACACTAAAGACATATTTAACTATTAATTTAAAATGTGGTTCACTTAGCATGAAAATTCATTCTTGTGCCACTAAGGGTGTACTTATTGCCTTTTGGGAAACACTAAGTTATTCCATTTAACTTAAAAATTCATATAAATTAATTTTCATTAAAGCAATTATCAACTTAGGAAACAATAATGCAAAGTTTTAACAATGAGATACAGAAAGTGTTAGACCTTTCATTTAGCAAATACTTGGAAATTGCTTTTGGTTGGCTCTTTTCAAATAAAAGTGACTAACGAGCTGGAGATATGGGAAACCTCCCAAGTCAGGATGTCTCCTTCCCACTCTATACCTAATGTGATCACGGCCATGTTATTTCAGGGAAAAAGGAGACCTCCACACAGGGAGAAGGAAAAAAAGGAAGTACAACAAAATGTTAAACGGTTATTTAAGGAATTATGAGTCATTGTTCTCTTTAAATTCTTCATGGTGTTCTTCCTTTCTCTACTTGCCTAACTTATTGAACATGCTTCTATTTTTTAAAAATAAAACAATACAGTAAAACTTTTTTGTTCCTTTGGGTACTTGCAGATGAAAATTGAATATTATTTCAACCTATTCCTTATAATAGTTAAATTTCTAATTTCATATTTTGATTCAAAGACAAAAATTTAAGCAAAGATATCCATTTCTTCCTTCTTATTTTTTAAAGTATTGATATTTACATAGAATCTTTTGTGGCTAAATAATGTTACTCTAAGATCTCAAAGCACTAGAAATAGGCGTTTTACCCATTATTATATAAAAAATATAATCTAGAAAAACAAAATGCCCTCAATGGCCAGAGTAGAACACAAAAACAATGAGTTCTGGAAAAGGGACCTGAAATCTTCTTGTAATTATGGCTTGATTATTCTTACAACTCTGTAGGTTAAATGATATGATATATGGCATTTGCTTTTAATTACTCTTGCAGGGATGAGGACAAGCTAGGAGTCAGGGTGGACAGATGGAAGGGATGGAGGAAACTAGAACAACAGCATAATGGCGATAATTGCTGAAGCTGGAGGGTGAGTAAATGGATGTGTTCTTTTTTCTGTGTATTTGAAAAACTCCATAAAGAAAGTTAAACAGAAACACAAAAAATCTAAATATGGCTTATTACAGAGTGACACCTAAAGCAACCTCTGTAGTATGCCCAAAATAGAGCAAAATGAACAGAAATTATCCATTCCAAAACAAAGCTGCAAGTGGCCTATAAAGCATTTTTGCTATTTTATTTGTATAATCAAATGAAAACCAAGTATTTACCAATAAGCACGACTAAATTATATGAAAGGTTATTATCGCCACCTACTGGACACTGTGATTAACTACTTGCTATAAAAGCCCAGTGGCTATTGAATAGGTCCCCTCATCCCACCCCAAACATCCAGTCTTTAACAAGATAATCCTAATAAAACCATTAAGTTTATGTTTCCATGTGTGTTTATATTCATAATGTTAATTAATTATGTTATATAATATCACTCATAACAACATGAAATGCCACCTGTAAAAGGTGTATCAAAATTTTTGTCACAAGTACATTGGTGATCCTTGTGTTAAAGATCTCAGAATTTGAATTGTTTTCCCACAGGGTTAGAAGCGATGATTTAAATTATTTATACATAGGGATAGACCAGAAAGGTAGAAACTAGTCCTGGCTCTTAAATTCGGTGCATTATCTTTTTTTCATCTCGGACTTTTAAAGTCCTTTTATTGAAAATTTTACATGTTTTATAACTTGGCTAACTGCATATACCAGTGATTCTCAACCCTGGTGTTAGAATTACCTGTGGAATTTTTTTTTTTTTAAGATTTTATTTTTTTCCTTTTTCTCCCCAAAGCCCCCCAGTACCTAGTTGTATATTCTTCGTTGTGGGTCCTTCTAGTTGTGGCATGTGGGACGCTGCCTCAGCGTGGTTTCATGAGCAGTGCCATGTCCGCGCCCAGGATTCGAACCAACGAAACACTGGGCCGCCTGCAGCGGAGCACGCAAACTTAACCACTCGGCCACGGGGCCAGCCCCTACCTGTGGAATTTTTAAATAAACTGATACTGGTACCAAGCTAGAGTTTTTTTACCCAGTCAAGGTTAAAAGAGTTATTAGGAGATACGAGTGGTTCTCAAAGTGTGGTCCCTGGACCAGCAACATCATCATCACCTGGGAACTTGTTAGAAATGTAAATTTTCAAGGTCCATCCCATATTGCTGAGTGAACCCAGCAATCTGTGCTTGCAGGCCCTCCTGGTGATTTGGATGCAAGCTAAAGTTTGAGAATCACTAGTATTTACTACAAATTTTTTAAGTTTTTACTCTTTTTAAATATAAGATTTAATTCACTGTTCTCTAAGAAGAAAATGCAATAATAATGATGCAAAAGAGAAACATTTATAGTGAGTAATCTAGTGCAGTTCTACCATTTTTTCAGAAGCGTACCATTACAAACAGTCAACATTAGTTCCAGTTAGCCAAAAGGAAAAATACTCTAATGGAAGGGTAGGGAATAATTTATTCATAGGCCAGTTAATAAGGCCCTGGAATGTTCTTGCCCAGAGCAAGTTTTCCAACCGTATTTCCTTGTTCTGGTTTGTTCCGATCAAAAAGGCACTTTTCTAAGATGTAATTAAGACCTTTAGCCATATCATACCTTTTAACCCAGGAATGTCACTTCTAGAAATAGAGACAAAAATAAATTATGCTCAAAGATTTTCTCCAAAGCATTATAAATAATTTCCAGGGGGACCTGAAAAAAGTCAAATACCCAACAACTGGGAAATGATTCCATAAATTAGAGCATCAACAGCGTAGAATATTGCTCAACCACTAAAAAGATCCTTTTCATATGAGATTTTAAATATATGAGGAAATGCTTACTTTATAACATTATGCATGTGCATGTTCCCTCTGTCAATTAAAAAAGAACGGAAAGCATCAAAATATCAATTCTGGTTATCTCTGAGTAGTAGAATTGAGTGATTTTTTAAAATAATTATTAGTGTTTCTAAAATTTTCAATAAGAATATACTTACTGTATTAATCAAAGAAAATCTACAAATACAATAAGAAAGATTCTTCCCTGTGAATTAGGATCTTCAAATAACGAGTAAGCTTTCAAAAGATGGTAACTACTGGAAAGAAGTAGATCTCTTTTCCTCTCCATCTGCACTACTCTTTTCTCATCTCATCCTTCCAACTCTTTTATTTCTCCTTTCTTCACATCAGTTCTGCCATGATTCCATAACTAGAGATACCAAGAAAGTGAAGGGTAATTATTCAATATTTAAAAAATTTTAAACTGTTCAGTTAAATAGTTTACCTTATCTTAGAATATATATAAAGGAGATAAAATAGCCAAATGGTCAAGAGAACAAACTTCAAAATAAGACAGACCCAGGTTTGAATCTTAGTTTGCCACTTAGGGGACCTCACACAAGTTTCAATTTGTTTATCTGTAAAATGGGAGTACCACCCTCCTAACTGAACTCCTGTGAGGATGAAATTACAGGATGCACATAAAGCATAAAATAGCCGTATGCATTCAATAGAAGGCAACGGCTATTACTTTTACAGTTAATGTTACAGTTTTTTTTAGTAAATAGACTTTATTTTTAATTTTATTACTACGATGACGATTATTTTTTTGCTGAAGAAGATTCACCCTGAGCTAACATCTGTTGCCAATCTTCCCCTATTTTGTATGTGGGTCGCTGCCACAGCACAGCTGCTGACAAGTGGTGTAGGTCCATGCCCAGGAACTCAATCCGGGCTGCCGAAGTGGAATGCGCCAAACTTAACCACTAGGCCAAGGAGCTGGCACCAGGAAACAGTGTTTAAATTTTAATTTTCCTGTGGGAAAAAGCTTAGTGGTGTACAGTGGTTGTTTATGGTCACTTGGGTTTCTCAGACGACTAAAATTTCAAGAACAGTTTGAGAGACCTCATGGAGCCATCAAAATATTCTTTACAAACTGGGTGTTATTAAAGCTCACCAGCACTATTATTTCATTTAAAAAAAGCATTTGAACATCTCCTAAAAGAGTAGAAGATAGTCTCAGAGTAAAGGAAATCATTCCCAAGAAAGAATAGTTGGCAACTGAATACCAAAATTATCCTTATGTTTTTTGTTTTGTCACATACCACTAAACCCTTAAGGACCAACACCAGTTTGCAAACTGGCACTGATGAAACATACAACTTCTTAGCCTAACTCTTCAGCCATAAATGAAGCTGTTCTATCTACCTCATGGGATGGATGTTCACTCAACAAACACTAACCAAATCTATTACTTGCTATCAAGCAGAGGAACTCAAGATCAAATGAAGTTAAGTACATGAAAACACTACACATGGCGCCTTGTACATTGCAAAGCACCATAAAAATACACAGTATTGTTATTATAAAAAACATCAATATTATAAATTAATTCCTAAGAGAAAAAAGATTTCCCACACGTTTTAATTGCTTAGTCATTTTCTATATTCATGCTACCACAAATGACATTCAGAATTTTTTAGAATGACCATTTTCAATATTTTTTCTTTAGAAAATAGTCATATTTGTGACATCGCTCATTATTCTGCCATTCTCTATCTTACGGGAACTGAAGATATTACTTTTTCCTCAGATGGTATGGCTCTCAAGGGAAAGTTATTAAGCTAGAAATTGCTGCTATAATTACCAGCATGTAGAACTTGAATTCTAAGCAAGAAAATTTACCTGGATCTAAAAGGTAGGTTCAAAGAAAATTTTATTTTCTTACTTTTCAAAGTGTTGTAAGATGTTTCAGTGTTAAAATTCACTTTCAAGTATGATGATCAAGAAATAACAAGACACCAAACGTAAAAATTATAGTTTTATAATTTTCTCTGTTGCTTCTTAATCCACTGAAAATAATTTCACAATCCAACACTTTTAGGCAGGTTCTTTTTTACTTTCTTTGGTTTCTGCTTCTTTTGGCAACAATGGCTCGATCTTTAGTAACAAACCTTCACTTGTTGAACTACGAAGGAGAGCACGTACCACGAACGATCCTGGAAACAAAGACAAGAATCAACTTTCATTTTATTCCATAGGCACCTAATGAGCAAATACAACATAGAACAAGAAACCTTACAGGACTCACGTCATATTTTCACTTGAAAAGCACAGATATTACTGAACTAATACAGTTAATTCTAAGAAAGGAAGACTGTGTCATTTCTAGAGTAGAAGACAAACTAGCTGTACTCTAGAATATTAGAGATTTATCCTTGAAACTACATGTATTCACTAATAATTCATTTCTCTCTTCCAGAAGATGATCACCTAGAATTTGTTTTATTGCAGAGTCAACAGTGAAGGGAGCAGGTGGTGATATTTACATTTGACGGTAATATTCTAAATATTTATTTAAAACAGTCAGCACAGATGCTACCTCTGTGTTACAAAACATTTAGTAAAATTCCCTAAAAATTAAAAAGCTTTTCATAAGAACAATGTTAAGGGACTTCATTTAAAATGGCAAAAAGAAGACAACTACATTGGCTTTAGAGATTTACTGTCCATCATTCTACTCTTGCTATAGTCTCAGAGGACCTTACACTGAAATCAAAGCTCTCCATGGAATATAAGAATCCACACACATACAATTACTAAGTACTATGGCCATATCTAGAACAAAATAATTAACCCATGAGGTATTTATTCACCAGGGTGTTTAACTCCCAAAGAAGGGGAAAAACAGCTTAAGGTTGTGTTTTAATTATACATTTGGTCATAAAACTAAACCTGACAGATTCCTATAATGGTAAGCCTATAAGTGAATAGTGAATTGAGAGTAACGGACCCTTGCCTCCCTTCAACCAGCCGTGAGTGAAATTTATCTGAGGAAGGAATGTGAATGGCATGTAACGCAATGATAAGGGCACTGGACATGTTCCCAGCCTACAACACAGCTTCCACATCTTGATCAAGTTTCACTGCTCTCCAAGAATTATCCCGATTATAAGAAGTGACTCTCATGACATGACTAAAACCTTGTTTCTTTTCTAAAATAAATAAGATTAAGAAAGCCAATTCCTAGTGCCGATGACAAAGTAAATGGTCTGGCTTCAAAATACCATTTCATAAATGATTTTAGTTTCTATTTAACACCATTGTAAGTTTAAGGCAATCAGTTTACAGTCTTCTTTCAGATTTTATTACATTTAATGGTGAAATAATGTGGGAATTTACAAAGGTTTCAGGATATGTTCCTTATTAATGTTAAAGAGGTCTCCCCTCTAAACAACTAGAACTTGTTAAAAAGGTAATTAGGGATCTTTTTGGTGAATTAACTTTTTTTCTTTAATCCCTGGAAATACTGTTGCTATTGCAGTTGCATATTAACTTGATTGTTTTCTTAACATTTTACATTTTTAAAGTATCACAGGGCTATAGGGAAGTCCAGCCCAGCAAACTACTTACCCAAACTCAGCGGTCTGTGCCTACAAACTTCATTGATAACTGCTTGTAGATTGGCAGCTATCTGGTCACTTGACATATCCAGCTGCAAGAAAAGGACAGAACATTAATGATGTGAAAGTGAGAAGATAATACAATTTTTGGTAACTGTATCAGCACTTATTCTAGACAGTGTTTTTCAAATATTCAACTAATGCAAATTATCCTACCGTGACCCTACTGTGAAAAAAAAAAGCTTCCATAACTCTTTTAGAATGTTATATGTGCATGTCTTTACAGGTGAAGACTTAATTACCTTATATAACATATTATAGAAGTGTTTTGAAGTTGTTCCACTTGAGATTCCTTGAATTCCAAGTAATTACCCCAAAGCATATCCTGGGGCAGAAAACACCATCCCCAAGGAACTAATGATATTTTCTCTTGAAGTTATTTGTTGATTTACTTTTAAAAGAAACTAAGAAAATGTTTAGAAATTAATGCTTTCATGAGTCCAAAATAAAACTACTTGATGACACACATTCAGACAACATGTATCTCCCAGAGACATTTTCAAGATGCTATGCTAACACTCTAACTATGCAACAACAATTATCCTGCTATTTAGCAAAAACTACAGTGAGTAAATATATAGTGAACAAGCCCTATTCAGAAAACTCCTAAACCTAGCTCACACCTTTGGAAAGCCCTTGTGTTTACCATTCAAATTCAAAGTATGTTATTCTTCTTAAATATTACCAGTTAAAATCAGTTCTATTACATTCCAATGTTTAGAGGATTTTGCACTTTGCCAAATGAATCTTTTCAAATTCATATAAAACTTATAATTGTATAACTGGCAAAAATCACACAGTAAGAGTTCAAGTTCAAGCAAGATTTCTCTTTTCCAATGACTCTGAGACCATTGTGAGGAATGTGCTGCATAAGCATAAAGAGAATTCTTCCTGGAAAAGGTGATTCTCATCATCGTTAGACAGCACTGATTGGACACTCACTTGGGCATGATGCAGTAGCCAACCCTAAAGAGAAGGTTTGCACATTACCGGAGGGATTTTCATTTTATGCCAATCCATAAGTGAGAGTTCTGAGAGGAAAAAAATCCAGCAATTCTTAGTCCACCTTATAAAGTCTGTAGACCTTATATACTGTAATTTGCATTGATGCAAGTTCACTGGCAGACAAGGCACCTTACACTTGCTATGTTAAAAAGAAGAAAACAAAAAATGCTAAGGGGTATCAATATGTGTCCCTGTCTCCTTTCATTTCTAAATTCTCCACTTTACCTGAAATTGCCTTTCTTTCTATCATCAACTGAAGTAACCACCACAGCTCTACATAAGTTCCTCTACCCTTTGTTAAAGACCTACACCTACCTCAAATTTGGGAAGTAATAGATGCAAGAAAAGGGAAGAGGTCAAACATATCTTTTTTAATAGTTATGATCTATACTGTTACACTGTATACGTTAAATTTCTCAGATTTTTGTAACTCTTCTTTCTGCAGACTTATATCCGGTAGTAAGCTAAAATAACAACGTATGCTTCAGACATGCGAAAAAATTACTTCCCCTGCAACTTTCATTATTAGGATGACTTCAATGATTTCATTAAGTTTTAAAATGTACAAAAATGTTTTAAAACATAGTTTATACTTCTGTCCAAATTTTAGCACCTCTAATCTTTAGTACTATGTCCTCTACTGAACTTTAAAATATATTTATAGCCTTAATGCTGCTTTTGACTTTTTCTTTTAGATATTGCACAAAATTACGAAAAAGCTATATATTTTATGGGCATAACTGTACTTACTTAACTATCTACTGCTGAGAGAGCTACATACAAAAACATAATGCATGCACCATGATTTTTATCAAAACTTGCACAGGAAATTTATCTGGGCTGACAATGATCTAGAGATAACCCAGGAAAGCAACATTTGCAAGCTTTTCTACCTACATCTCAGTTACTCTGCACTTCCGATAGTGCTCTCCCATGCAATAACATTTTGTGGTCTTACACAAAGACCAAGAAGGCAAGGATGACCATTTGGAGGAGATGATATTATCTGTTAGATTCTCAATGGCAGAGCATAAGACTTGGTACAGTAGGAAAAAAAAAGGGAGGGTTTGACCTTGAAGGGGATACTGAACTATGTTAAACACTGTATTTGTGTGTGTGCATGTGTGTATTTGAATAAATAACACTCACAATACTATCTATGTTTAGCTAAAGTGATTGTCTACTACAGGGCAAAATAGTTGCTCCCTGTTCTGTAGCAGACGTTTTCAAGGAAAGACTGCTTTACTGAATCCCACCTTCTGCTTAACATCCCTTACTATGTCAGAGACAATTCCCTGAGCAGACTAGATGGAGGCTTATGCAAGACGTCAGGGTAGTGCCTCAGCGGATAACAGGTGAACTCTTATCTCTTTGTTTTGACTTGCAGATTTTCCTCATCCCATGCAATTCCTAATCTTTGTCTTCAAACATTTCCTAGCATTATGAGAAAACTGAAAAACAAGGGTCCTTAACCATTTCTTGTCCCTTTGAGATGCAGACATATGCAGGGCAAACTGTAGTCAGGAGAGTGTCTAAGCCAGTGATTCTTAAACTTTTTTCAGGTCATCAGACCTTGCTTCAGAAAAATGCACACAGGCACACAAAAAATTCAGCCTGCGCTTTTAGGGTCTTCAAGGATTCTCTGATTAAAAGAAAGGGGAAGAGAGAAGAAAAGCTCCTGAGGACAATGTCTCAGTTAAAAGGGACCCCTGGGCCACACTTTCAGAACGGCCAGTATAGAGGTAAGTTTGTTCAACTATTTTGGAGGACTAAGGAAAACAGTGCAGAAAAAGGATTCAACTTAACTTTTTACATTTTACAGAGAGTAGAACTTAAAAAAAAAAAAAAAGGAAGCAAAGTATGTATGCATAATTTTTAAACAATCACATGTTCCTCCTAAAGTGGCCACAGTACATGTTCTGTCACTGTAAACGTTCTGACAGCCTCTAGATAACTGACCACCTCTAAGTGGAAACCGCAGAGGACTGCTGCCTTAGATAAGGCACGTGTTAAAACATTTGACCTCCAAAATCCCTTCAAAATGCAATGCTCTAAGATTATAAAAAGGGTGGCCTGGCATATGGTTTCTGCAGATGGGCCAGTAATTAACCTCCATACCTCTTAACAGTCTAAACCAAGAGAAGGAAGACAATCTGTGTATCCCCTATACAACATTCAGGAAAATAATAATAATAATAATCGATTGAGCAGCTCGATTTATTGGGTGCTTACTCTGATCCAAGCTCTGTTCTAAGCCTTACACAACTATTCTCATTCATTTGTGCCAAGAATCCTAAAGATGGGTACTATTATTATTCCTCGTTTACAATTACAATTCGAGACTCAGAAAACTTGGTAAACTTATCCAAGGACACACATATGGTAAGGAGTGGCCCAGCAGCTATGTGCATGAGCTCTAAAGGCAGAGAAATATGGATTTGAACCCCACTTCCACTGTTACTAGCTTATAACCCTGGAAACAGCTGGTAAGTGTCATTTATCTTTATGAAAAGTGAAGTGTCTCTTGTCGGGAGAACATAACTGAGTTTGTTATAAACTAAGGAGAGAAAAGGGGAAACTAAGTCAAATGCTGAAAGGAAAAGAATACGCATTTAAGCGGGAAAAATATCAATTTTTCTTTCTGCCTAAGGAATCCTTTACTCCCTCCTAGTTTTTAGATGTTACCACCACACAATTTAGCAACATTTACTAGGCCCCCACTCTTTGTCAAAGAGTATGCTGAAGATAGAAAGATAAGTAAGATACCAACCTTGCCCTCAAGGAGCTTACCACCTGGTCACTTAAGTATAACACCACAAGTGCCACCCAACTACATGAACAAGGTGCTCCCAGGGCACAGAGAAGAAGTGATTGATTTTGACAGGGAACACTTCACAAAGAAGGTGCTATTTAAACTCAGTCTTAAAGGATGAAGAGTTTTGAAGGACAAAGAGGGTCTTCTAGACAGAGAACGTAGCATGAGGTCACGTAAGAACAAGGTGGATCAGGTGATGATGAAGGTCAACCATCTGTACATCTTAGTTGGAGAAATGTGTATTCAGATTCTTCTCTCATTTTTTAATTGAATTACTTATCTTTTTATTATTGAGATATAAGAGGGTTTGTTTTTGGTGAGGAAGACTAGCCCTAAGCTAACATCTGTTACCAATCTTCCTATTTTTGCTTGAGGAAGACTGGCCCTGAGCTAACATCTGCGCCAATTTTCCTCTACTTTGTATTGGCTCATCGCCAGAGCACAGCTTGATGAGTGGTGTAGGTCCACGCCAGGGATCCCGCAAACCGGGGCCACCGAAGCAGAGTGTGCCAAACTTAATCACTACGCCAGGGGGCTGGCCCCCTAGATGAATTCTTTTCAAATTTTTAAAAATTTTTTATTGAAGTATAATTGACATACAATATTATATTAGTTTCAGGAGTACAACATAATGACAGGATATTTGTATACGTTGTGAAATGATCACCACAGTAAGTCTAGTTACCACTTTTTTTTTCTTGTGATGGGAATGTTTACAATTTACTTTCTTAGCATCTTTCAAATGTGCAATACAACTATTATTGACTAGTCATTATGATGCCCATTACATCCCATGACTTATTTATTTTATAACTGGAAGTTTGTATCTTTTGATACCTTTCACCCATTTCACCCACTCCCTCAACCCCCTTCCCCTCTGGCAACCACCAATCTGTTCTATGTATCTACGAGTTTTGTTTTGTTCATTTGTTTTATTTTTTAGATTTCACATATAAGTGAAATCATACAGTATTTGTCTTTCTCTGTCTGACTTATTTCACTTACATAATACCCTCTAGGTCCATCCATGTTGTCACAAATGGCAAGCTTTCATCTTTTTTTTAATGTCTGAGCAATACTCCATTGTATATACATGTACCACATCTTCTTTATCCACTCATTTATCAATGGACACTTAGGTTGTTGCCATATCTTGGCTATTGTAAATAATGTTGCAATGAACACAGGGGTGCATATATCTTTTTGCATTAG